ATAATTTTTCGTTTACTTTCTCTTTTATGAATGAAAGATTTAAATAGTAGTAGAAGTAGATACGGAACCTTAGGGATGACAATATGTGTGTTTTGATTGGAATAATCAACGTAAAATTGCTTTTGAGGTCCATTGCAGCTAGTTCTGAAAATTTCGCTTTTTCATTGTTATTCCATGTCTTTCGATCGAAATTCCACTACTGTACCCCTGGGTAGGTTGTGCTCATTACAATTTACTGATCTGGTTTTGTATTGATCATTATTTATGTATTTATCACTCAAAATCTGCTTGAACGACCTGAGGCGGCCGCGCCCGCAAAATCGCCGCGGTCCCACGTGGCCAAAACTCGCGTTGTCGTCAACGTGTTAAGGACCTTGAAGTCCTAGCAGTCAACAAGAGCAACAAGTTTGAAAGGAATCACGACAAAGTGTTTTGAACAGCCGGTAGCGGAATGTTAAGAAAAAGTCGTGGCTAAATACAGTGTACATCTTATATTGATTTGTTCTCATGGAAAACAGAATTAGAGTTGACGGTTTGACTATTTCTCGTCGACTGTAACTCCCATCTACATTCTGAAATTCAGCCTTTTCCAACGATTGTGGTAGCGAAACATAGTATCCTGTAGAGCAGATAGGTTACTCGAAGTGTATACCAGCATGCATTTCCAGTCGAACTAATTCCTTTTGAAAAAAACGACCTGTTTTCGGGACAACCTAATATTCATCTCTTGTTTTTCGCCAGTTTGTTTTTCTTTGCAGATTGCTAAAGTGAATGTTTGCGCTCAACTTCTCGAGAAAGCCTTGCAAAACAATGACAGGGAAGGTATCAATGATGCCAAGGTGTGTATTAACTATTCCACCATTTTTTGCACTGTATACCTTACTTGCTCATTATTGTGCCCGTCACATTTAGGGTCAGCTTTTGAATGAAGCGCGAGACGTTCTTTCCGAATGGTTAGACGCTCAATTTGGCAGTGCTGTGAATGATCATAGTGTTTTCGATAACCTCGCTAAAGCGTATGTGTTCTCTTTCTTTCTTCTTAATTCATTTCTACCTATGCCTTCTATTACCGATTGCTTTTACCTTTCCAAGTGATTCAATGAAGCGGGTGTTCAGGTACGAAAGCGAATTTCTCTCGGATATGGCACGCCTGAACGTTCTTCCCGCTGATGTCGTAACCAGGGTCTCGGAATATGTTCCGGAAATTGTAGCATACGTTGAAAAGATTATAGAGAATGGATATGCTTACACCACCAATGATGGCTCTGTGGGTTCTTTATCCGATCTATCTGGCTACCTTATTTAAAGTTTCATTTGAAATTCAAACTTTTCTCACAAGCAGTTGTTGCATGTCACCGCGCGGTTTCTCGGTATCTCCAGTAGTTTGGAGATTCATCATTAAAGCCACAATATGACTCCGCAGCCACGCAAGCAGGCCTATCATGGTTACTGGTCGATCGAATGTAATTCAAAAAAGGGAAAGCATGGAGGAGGTTTTCTATATGAGGGATTGGTGGTGTGAGGTCATCGTACGATAAATACCCATATCTAGTTAGACTTCTTTGCTGTCGATGAATTGCATCGCCTTGTTATCGCTCGCAAAGGTTTCACGCTCGATTATTATACAAAATCATACTCTATGTATGGCTGTGGCTATGGCTGGCTGAGTATGTGAGAGTAAGTGGTGATAACCGTTGTCAGAAGGCATACATCACTAATTTTGATGGGCCATTCACGATGAAATTGGTGTACACGCACTTATAAGTGTGGTGTGGAGCAAGACTGTGGCATAGCTGGGATGATAGCAGTACTCGCTTGATTCGTCACAGCTTTCGTTTCAACGGTAGGGCACCTGTATTAAGATGCTCAATGTACGGTGGGATGGGGACATTGTCAGTGGGTGATCAAAAGTGAAAACAGCCGATGAAATTGGTTTTACAAGGCGCGTTTCGAAAGCAAGTTTCACTACTTCGGAACGCCGTTCTGTTGCAGACCATTTACCACACTTATTCATTCCAGGTCTATTTCGATACGAAGGCCTTTGAGAGCAACCCTAAGCATTTTTATGCAAAATTGGTGCCGGAAGCATATGGTGACTCTGAATCGTTGGAGAAAAATATGCGTGAAGGTGAAGGAGAGCTTAGTATGACTGCTGACAAACTAATGGTGAGTTCCCAAACTTTTGCGTAGAAGCTGCATATCTTTTATGTTTGTTATATTACACCTCTAGCAAAAACGAAACCCATCTGACTTGACGCTTCTGGAAGTGCAGTCTATAGGAAGGAGAACCGTTTTCTGGGAGAGTCAATGGAGGGACAAGGTATTATAGATGTTCTTGTTAGTCTTATTATTTCTTTAAAACTCTCTTATATCTTCTTTCAATCAACTTCGATGATTGCTTCAGTCATTTGTGTTTATGGCGATTTTTTTTGTGTCAGATTTATATTCTCTTCACGACAGCTTTGTTTGTCTCCAGGTGTAGTGGCTAAAATAGGGATTGTTCCATATTTTCTGCTTTTTATGAAAATCCCCAATCAAGTATATTACTGATCCTTGTAGTTCGACAGTTTTGGTCAGTTTTGATTGATTTCCGGAGCTGAGGACATGCTAAAATTTATTACAGGTCGTTCCTGGCTGGCACATAGAATGTCGTGAAATGTCCAACGGAGTATGCGGAGCATAAACTTGATATCCCACGCAGACGCCGGATGCGATCTCAACGTTTTCCCCACACGATAATGAATAGCCAATTGAGACTCGCAAGCATGATCCGCATAGCTTTTTGCATTAATAGGCTCTTACAAAAAATTTGATTATTGTCAGGTTGAAGCATACTACGACAACCCACAATGGGTCAATTATTTCATTCATTGTGGCACTCTCCGGATAGCTGGCATGAAAATGAGCAAATCGCTCAAGAATTTCATCACTATTCGTGAAGCCCTTCAAACATACACCTCTAGACAAGCTTCGATTTCTGCTTTCTTATGCATAACTGGACTGATGTTTTGGATTACAGGTATCTTTAATTAACTCCATCATCATATGTGTTCGGTCTGCAGTCAAAGGCAGTGATTGCAATGTCAGGCGATGTGCTATGCTTTCCCATCCAAAGTTTCCTTTAAATTTACTTGTTTTGAACGATATAGTTTCTTTATTTTCAGTGGCATGTTTACTTTTACCTACATACATACATTAAATGTAGGCACCTAATCAGGGCAATCCCAGATGGGAATACAGAGAAAATTTAAAGGACTTTTCGTCCCCCAACCCCTTCGGGGGGATAGCATACGGCCCCAGGTGCGCACCGGGGAAGTGTTGTGGCACTGGGAATAGTATCCAGGCGTTAAACAAAGCGACTTGTGGCATTTTACGGACGAACTGTGAGCTAGATGCGTCATAAGTGTTTGCCGATACTGTTTTGAAAGCAGTTAATATTTTCTCTAGGAAAGCTCGAGAATAAGCTGACAACTTCTCTGTTTTAATGTCTTGGAAACTATCCAAACTCATGCATTACAAAAACGGGAAAGACATAGTATCGAGATATTGTGAAGGCAACTCGTTCGAATGCGAAGAGTTGAAGCGAATATCGTTCGGCCAACATTGACCGCACATTACTTGCAACTTTTCAGTACCTTACAGAATTGCAGAACCTCAAAACCTTCCTCGTCACTAGTGTGCCTCCCCCTGCGTGTAGCGAGCATTGCTCGCTGTTGTTGAAAAACGTATTCACTTCGAGGCAGGGAATTACTGGGTGGCCTGATGTCAACCGGGATGAACACGACCTCATTTTTGGTCGCTGACTGATTACCGTAGTCAAAATTCACGGACAACAAAGGGGTCTATTTTCGCGTATTTTTGGCGCTCTTTTTTGCCACTTTCGCTTCATTTACACTCCTATTCCATTCTAACCCCTCCTGGAATCTATCATAATCGCTGTCTCGGGAAGAACATCCCTTTGTCAAATTGCGCGCGAGTGCTTCCTATTTGATTCTTTTCAGCACGGCTACAATGGAACGCGCCATGCAGTTTGAAAAGATATCCAACGAATTTTTCTTATTAGTCAAGGATTTGTTACGTAAACATTACAAGCCGGATAGCCCTCAGGTGACTCCGTCGTCTAGAACTCGGATATTCAAGATTTTAACTTCACGAAGCCTGTACTGCCATAGACTATTTCAGGGCTATGTTAAATATAATTCTCGAGAGCTTCAAATCATGGAGGAGTTCTCCGCCATCAAAAAAGATGTCAGTTTAACCCTTTTGATTTTCGCGCAATTTTTGTTAGTTCTTTATTAGGTTCACGACGCTCTGTGCGACTCTATGGACACGAGAACAGTCATCGAAAAATTGCGGGATCTTATCGGTATTGGAAATGCTTACGTTAACGAGAAGGTAAAGTTCACACAGAAAATGTTCCCGTTAAGTGATCTTCTCGAAGTATGTTTTAGGAAAAGGAAGGCGTAGCTCCAAATTGCCTTCTGCTTCGAAATATTGCTGCTTACATGACAGACCTCTTCGCGATGTTCGGAGTCATTCCTAAATCTGGAGAGATAGGCTTCCCTATAGAACGGTTTGTTATTATTCTCCTACTGAATATCTGAATTAGCCTTACAAAGTTTCGATTCTTTTGCCTTCCCTAATTGAGAAAAATTCTTATCGTTCGATTAAGTTTTCAACAAGCTCATTATCTAGTATGTGGTGTGAAGGAAGCAGGAAAAGGGTTGTAAGGCCAATAACATGTAAGGATAGGTAGGGGTTTCTTGCTGGGCAGGAGCCTCTCTGCGATTCCAGAGAAGATTAAGAGCCTACGGCGAGATCTCAAGATCGTTTGATCTGGATGTCTCTTGAGGAAACTGTTGATCTGGATGTCTCCTTGAGGGAACTGTATTGTTACTCTAGAAAATTCAAACATAGGTAAGGCATGCGGTGGCTACCACATATGAATATGGTAACTAGGGCCAGGGTAGCCATAAATTGCGGCGCAGCTCATTTTGTTATTTAACACGTTCAAGACGAGGCGGGTTTTTCGTGCGCGATTTTGGGAACGCCGCCGCCTCACATCACTTCTATAGATTTCCTTGAAAGTATAATAACAAAAAACAGATGTCACAAAGTAATCCCTAGTCCCTACATACATTAAAGGTACTGAGCGATTATAGTGCAACTTTGATAAAAAAAGTCGTTGAGTTGTAATAAAAGCTCGAAATTTATCAATAATTGTTGCAGTGGACATCAAAGGAAGTTTTGTCTTGATTTTTCAGACAAAACGTGTACCTTACTATTGATATAGCTTTAGATTTGTTCCTGGTACTTATTCATTCACATTTTCATGGGAATTACAAAGAAAAAGAATAATAACCGAACGAAAAATTCAGCACGGCACAGAAGACCTTTTCTGAACTGAATTATATCTATTTTCACAGTGGACCAATATGTTTTGAGTTATATATTACTCCCTAATCATTCCATGATATCGAAAATATCCACAAAATACGATCAGCACAAATAGCAGGCATTTCTTTGCTGACAGGCCATACGGACTGATACCCTCCCACGGGCTTGCGTGACTGGCAGCCCACATGAGCTGCCATCGGCGTGAATCTGGTAATGGATATTTTTTTTGTACCTGAATTTTCTCCAACCCCTCTAGGACTTTTCATGTGCACTAGCGCGTGTTAGTTAAAGACCACCTCTATCTTACTATCGGGGTGACGAACATGAAAGCAGGGTTGCGAAGTGGACTTATGGTGAAGAAGAAAGGACGCTAGTTTGTCGAAAACGCTATAATTGAAGGCTTACTCATTTTTGTAATACGGCTGTGCTAAAGCTGTGAGACGCTGAAGAGTGCAGAAGGCGCAGAAAGGAGTAGAGCGTTGTGGATCAGGGGGTACAAACAACCGTATGTTGCGAATGAGGAAAAATGGAAACGGTCGTCTTGGAAAATCATAGCACCGCGTGTCGCACACTTTCCAACTGGGAGTATGAGACATCTGCGACTTTAGTGGACACGGATGTGTTACCAACAGAGCAATCCTAGAGCTCGTTATGGGGTATGCTTTCAATGATATAAGTGCAGAAACTAAAATATTATTATATTAATAAATATTAAATATTATTATATTAATAAAGATTATTCTCATCTTGGTGTTCAAATGATTATTCTATTCATATACTAGTTCACTAATTCCAAAGGACCTCAACAAGAAAATAGCTTTTTTCAGGGAGGCGGGTGTTGGTTCAGAAGAAATGCTGATGCCCTATCTGAACGCTCTTGCCAGTTTCCGAGAGAAAGTCAGGAATATCGCTAAGGATAATAAAGTTACAGCAATTTTAGAGGTATTCGCTATTGTTTTGCATATTTTTGTGTAGCTTTATTGAGGTTGTTCACTAGTTGATCTTCGAAAGGTTTCACTTCAGGAGTGTGACCGGTTACGAGATGATGTTCTTCCCGAACTGGGCGTACGGTTAGAGGATCGAACTCAAGAAACAGTGGTGAAACTATGTGATCGTGACATTTTGCTCCGCGAACGTGAGCAAAAACGAGCTATCGAGGCAGCGAGGCGGGAGGTGAACCACAAATTATTGTTTTTTTTTCGCGGGGATGTTGTACCATCATAATTCAGGAGAAGGAGCGGAAAGCCGCGGAGAAAGCAGAGAAAGAGGCGTTGAAACGTATCCCTCCTCAAGAAATGTTCTGTCGAGGTGACGAAGCGGCAAAATATAGCAAATGGGACGAGAATGGTATTCCTACGCATACGGCTGACGGTGAAGAGGTATGGTGGAATTTTCTATAGTTCTTTCATCAGTTTAACACATTGGCGACCAAGCAGTTTTTGGGTGTTCCCGAAAATTGCGTCCTAATGCTGAAACGCTTCCATACGGTGTACATACCAAATCAATGAGAACACAATGCGGAAACTGCTGAAACATCATTTGTCTCGTACAAATGCTTAATGGCTGCAAACCAAGCAAAAATCTCCCCGTCCCGCAAAGGTGAAACTTCGGAACGCTCTCGGAAAATTCCAATTTTCCACTGTAGAATCCACAAATGAGGTTGAACACAAATCTCTTTTTTGCCAATTGTTGTATCATTGAGCTAATAGCATATACAAAAAGGCATTGCTTTCTACATCCATCCTCATATACTGAGAAGAAAAGGATCCAACCAACCTTATTTGAGAAACTTTCACTGATGACCAGATGTAATCAAAGAAAAAGGTGGACAATACACAAAGTTTTATTGCAAACTTATACTCGACGGTTAAATAACAGCGCCTGCTCAAAATTTTTGAATATGCGCAAAGAATAAAATTCAAATGGGGTTTTGTCGCCTCGCATGGGCGACATTGTCGCCAATGTGGTTCAAGGGATTTCCGCATGAAATGTTTTGGAATAACGTAGAAGAGGAGAATTGATCCAGATTTTTTTCTGACTGCCATTTCATTGAAATGATTCATCTCACCGCAAGATTGTGTCGTCAGGTTCGGCGAGCACAGATTGCAATGTCCTTTGCCTTGGTTCCAACAAAAACTCTGAAGTGACTCCAAGGGGGGTCCGAGGCTCCAAAAATGCATTGACGTATTGGCTTGGCGATTCCATTTCCGTCCGCTCCGTCCTTGTCTATGCTAGTCCTGGCGCATTTCCTCCTTCCTTCATACAACTTCGCTGCGATCCACGAAACCTGGTCATGAACCCAGTCAATCGACGTCACGAGCCACCATGTTGCCGCTCAAAGCATCCACAACTGCTGATGACCTCTTGTTATCTTCCCTAACGATAATCTGACCCATCACAGCCCATTGAAATACTGTAAATCAAAAAAAAAAAAACACTCGTCTATTGAGATACTAATCAATCAATTTGAAAAAAGATACAACAAAAAAAGGATAATAAAGAAATAAAGCAAATTTGACCGTATATACAAAATGACCCAGTCTGGAGATGCGAACGCAAAATCTCTATAACATACCATTTGATAACATACGAGAGTAGAGAAGTGGTCTTTAGAAAATGCGCATAGTGCCTAATACACATAAAGACTTGCGGGGGCCAGCACCGATAAGTAAAAGTCAGTGTATTGTTATCCAATATCACCAAAGACAAGTCCTGGATAAACAAAATTAACCGAAAAACCAGACCGGATGGAAGAGAGTCGAGTTGGACCCGGAGCAGACTCACACAACGACCCAAGGATTGAATCCACAGAGGAAACGCTCACCGAATGGTAAAAAGAGAACACGATGCTAGCTATGTCAACTAAACAGCCACTATAACGCCTCAAAAAGAGAGTACACATAAGAAACACAGAGGTAATTGAGTATCTTTTCTGTGCTATGAATGATATACTATACCGAACTTATTTAAAAAGGAAAATTGAAAAAAGAAAAGCAACACATAAATACTAAATGAGCAAGTCCGCAGAAGAAATTCTTAGTCGGTGAGAAGTAAGAATTCTAATGAATCAAAGAGGACAAGCTTCGCTCTTGATTACATCCCGCTCACTAACAATGGTTGACCTCCCTTCCTTCCGACCTTCACTTTTTTCCCGTTCTCTGGGTAATCAGAACCGAATTATTAGGATTTCTAGAAAACGCTGCCCACCTAAGGGCACTTCCTCTTATTGTAGGCGAGCCTCCGCTCATCTCATGTGTGCTCGAACCACGCTAGATATTGTTATTCTACACCATTTTTTTTCTGCTTTGTCGGCTTTTCCATAACCGAGTTACGATTTCTTATTAAACTTCGATTAAAGTTCGATTATCTAGAGAAAGTTCTGCCCACCGCGGGTATGTTTTCCTAATTCGATCTGTCCACCCAGTGCACTTCAAAACACTTTTTCTAGTCTCCTGGCTGTTTTGGAATCTTGTTCTAAGTTTTCACCGTCTGCCCGCTTATTTCTGTGCACGCTCCGCCTCATGGTCGGGGGTGGGGAACATAGGTCGACGTATTTCAAAACAATTGAGCATGCATCAAAAGCAGACAAAGGTAAAAGTGAGTGTGACATGCAGTTCATGGAAAAAAAACTGACAAGGTTCTTGTGTCCAGGGGCGGTCCTATATGTTACTGAACACGAGGACTGTTTTGCTAACGGAGAGTTACACGCTCGATGTATAATCCTACTTCGTGTAAAATGCTAAGCCTGTCTATGTTTTCTTCACAAAATTCGGTATCGAAGAACAACCTGGAAAGTCCAGGTCCAGTTTGGGACGAAGCGGCATCATCCAATAAGCAAAAAGGCACATCAGCTATGTGTTGGGGGAAAGTAGCATAGTAAATAAACCGTAGAATTTGAAGCATATTGCAAAATTCTGCGTTCAAGTCTTTATCACCTCACTACAGTCACAATACCTCGGTGGAGGTTTCTACCCATCAGAGGTGAGGTACGTTCTGTACTGGACATTTATTTTGAACTTCATCACAATGGGATGCCAAATTAGTGCGAAGTTTCGGCTATCTGAGACTAAGTTGTTTCCCATTCAGGTTTTTTGTTTACGTACTTTTTCTTACAGATTTCGAAAAAACAACGGAAGAAACTGGAGAAGTTATGGGAGACACAGCAGAAGAACTACCAGCAGGCCGTTGGGTCTGGGAATTAGATGCGTTTTTCTATGACTAGGTTATATCATTGGATTTTTCCCATAAGGTCTTTTTTCTCTTCTTTTTTCAGATGAGCTGTTCTATGAAATTTCTTCCTGTCTGTTAAGCTCTGCATTTCTTCATTTTATTTTTGTTTGTTTTTTTCACGGCTTTACGGCGTTTGGGCTTCTTTCACCACTTGTTCTTTGGTTTCTCTCGGATTACCAAGTGCGGTTAACTAGCATTCTAGTCGGCCGCGTTCTCAATCGTTCTTTTTGCTCCCACCCTGTCTGAAAATGTG